GTGTGCTGAAAGAAGGCATCATTCAGTTTGACTCTCAGAAAAGAGTGCCTCTAAACATGCACAAAGTGCTTGCCACTGAGTCTCCACCACATGTGGAGTTCAGAGATTAACAGAAAAGGTTTCCTAGACCAGTAGTTCCCAACCATAGGTCCCCAGATGTTCTTGGACTATTGCAGTTCCCAGAAGCCTTCACCACCACCTCTGCTGGCCAGGATTTCTGGGAGTTGTAGGCCAAGAACATCCGAGGACCCAAGGCTGGGAACCACTGTTCTAGACAGAGTTACTCTCCGGTGCCTTTCATTTCAGAAAGTCACTCTCAACATGTTGGCTTTGCTCCAACACACTGTAGCTTTGTTTGAGCTTTTAACAGGATGGGGTCTGGCCTCCTCTTTGCTTATTTTCTCAAATGCATCTATAGGTTTCTGTACATTCTGAATTGCATACATTGCCTGAACACATTTAAATGTGTTGAGAAGGTATTTTTAAACCAATTTTTAAAAATATGGACATTTCCCAGTTCACACTTCCCCAAGGTGTACAGTTTTGTTCCAAATTTTCTCATGGCGTCCCATCAACACCAGGGTCTCAAAGCAGAAATGGCATCTACCCTCCACCCACTGACAGTCCATGATGTGTGGAAAGAGACAGAACCTTGGATAAAATTGAATACCTCACACATCTCCACCAATAACCTGTTAATAATAGCTAAACCACAAATCAGGAGATGACAAGGAGCACAAAAATCTGTCTTTCTGTGGCCTCCTTCCTTACTCACCCTTGCTACTCACCTCACCTCCTCTCCCTCATTCTATACTGGTTCTAACTTAGAATGGTCTCATCCATCATAAAGTGGAATAATCCGTACCATTATTCTGACAGGGCTTGAAGAACCACTTCACTATTCAAGGGCATCAAGGCAGGCTGCTCCATAGAATCCATTTTCTTCCATAAATTAAAGTGAATAATATGATTCATATTTCAATTAGAACCAACTAGAATTCAACTATTGTGTGTGAGTTTTCAGGTTCTCCTCTGCTCTTCATTAGACTATGTAGAAGAGGAGTTCATTATCAGGGCAAACCGGGAACCCATCCTTGAAGTTTTGAAGGGAGGTGTCACCCACGCCAGTCTATGAGCCACCATCTGGCTAGATGGTAAAAAAGAGGGGCAGGGGAAAAGCATGGCAGCACACATACCCTTATAACTCCGCCACTTCCTGCCTCTCTCATGTTGGAGAATAGCTATATCGAGCTTTCCATGGGGCCTGAGATGGGACATCTAAAGAGATATACTTCTCCTTTAAATGGGGAAGAAGCAGTAAATCTCAGAAATCCTCAATATCTCCAAAGGAGCCACAGCAGAGATGACATCTTAAAAAAGAGAAACGTTCTCATTATTTTTTTTCTCTCCCAGTTCCAAATTGCTGTGAATATAAAGAAATAGATGCTGTGACCACAGGACAGCCCAAGCGTATATGAATATAACAGAGGACTTAAAGAGACAGAAAAAGCTGGTTCTACCTAAATAAATACAATTTCTTTATTGTTTGAAAAGGTAAGAAGTAGAGTTTGCAGATGAAGCTTTCAAGACAAGTCTGCTGGATGATGTCCCTGGACAGACAGAGGGTGGTGGTTTCAGAAAGAAGCGGGTGGATGAGAGGCAAGGCGTTTAGTTCAGAAATCTGAAATGTAGAACATTAAATCAATTTTCTTACTAGCACAGCCTTTAAAAATACATTCTTCTGCATCTTGAACCTGCAATTCTCTCCTATTTCAGTGCCTCACCTTGTCTAATGGTAAACCTAGCCATGCCTGAATTGCTTCCCCCCTTTTTCTTGTTCCAGCAGCAAAAAAATGATACTTGTTTCCTTTTAAGACATTTTGAAAGGTGTACCTATTTGTGCCATTCTCTTATGAATTTCCAAGTGACAAAGGAAATACTGTTTTGTTTCCTCTTTTATATTTTTACCAGTCATTTAGAAAGTGCAATGTCAAAACTGGCCACTAGAGGGAACTGGAGAGTATGTCTTGGTCCCTCGAATTTGCATCCAGTTCAGGGTGCTGTAGACTTCATTCCCTTTGGCCCAGGAAATGATCTGAAGGTATTCTAGGCTGCTGACAGTTTTGAGTCCTCCCATCCATATCCCAGTGGAACTGCGGTGGGGGCCAGGGACTGAAGGAACAATGGCAGAGGAGCAAATTTTTTCTCAAACCAATATTTTGCATTTAATGGGTGGTTGGTGACATCAGGTTCATTGAGAAAGGGAGAAAAAACAGGATGAATGAGCCCCCAAACTGAAAATATTAGATCCAGGTTCCACAAGACAGCATGAGAGGCTGTTCCACAGGAGAAGGCAAGAAAATGAAGAAGGATGGAAGTTCAGAAATGACATGGGGGTGCATGGGGTCAAATGAATAGATCATACGCACACATGCACACATTCCAAAGTAGAGAGAGAGTGCAATCAGATGGACATATAGCTTACATTTTGGACCACTTGGGGCACAGTCTAGTGTGAGATGTTTTCCAGAAATCAGATGATGCATAGGAGATCAGGAACCAGGCCAAGCCTGTTCTGTGCTAAAGCTGGTGCCCCTTTTGGTCCAGCAGCAGGTCTACTTTTAGAGACCAGTTGGGAGCAATTCCTGTTCACACAGAAGGTCACTTTAAGGGAAATCACTCCCGTTTAAGTGACCGTTTCCAGCACGATCCGATGCAACCCTTTATTTTGTCTGATTGAAAAAAAATATGCAGTGTCTTTAGATTGCCTGCTATCTCTGATCACTAACTGGAGATAACATGAGCAGGGTTATGGTCATGAGCTGGAGATTCCCTTCTCTCTGCATCAGGCGTAAATTCACTCTGTTCACTTCTTTATTGCTTCACAAGATTTAAAAAAAAACAAAAGACCAAAAAATACAATGCTTTTGTATATTGACTTCCTCAAAACAGATGCATTTAACATCCTTAAAAAAAAGTCACTGTAAAGTTAGGAGAACCAGGAAACCTGAAGAATAAGTGTCTTCTCATTTCTGTTTTTTTCTTCTTCAGGAAGTGAGGTCACCCACAGTGATCGGCAGGGCAGACCACAGAACAACAAATGGTGAGTGAAGCTAAAAGTGATAGGCAGATTCAGGGTCTAAAGCTGGAGTAAGTCAGGATCTAAAAACTCAGGGTGTGTGTGCAAGTAACCCCATGGCATACTCTGCCCACACCTTACTTGGGGTATTGGAATAAGAAAGAAAAAGCAGCTCGTCATAAGCTGTCCTGTTAATTACTGTGTTTAAAGAGGCCATGTTACCTCCCCGCCCCCATATAACATCAGTTTTGAGTCATAACCAGCAAAATCATTTACCAGATGTTATTTTTCAGGTTTTCTTTTCTTTCTTTCTTTTCTTTCTTTCTTTCTTTCTCGTTTAAGACTATTTTTTTTTATTTGTTATAATGTGCTACGAACACATTATCCCAACTCCTTCGGAATAACTTTAAAGACACTATGTTAGAGAAATGACGAATGCAAATTTGTTAGTCATTTTGCACGATTTCACGCGCCATTGCTTGTACATCTTATTATTATCATTTCTAAGAAGAGCTGAGTAACCCTTGAATAGAACCAGAGGAAGTTCACAAGGCGGGAGAGGAAGAGAAATGCAAGAGCTAATTACTGTCCATGTCAAGGTAAATAGATTTCTGGATGGCTTTACCCCTTGTAGAGTTTTCAGCCAGGCTGGTGAGGACTCTGCCCTCATCTGCTAGGGAGGATGTGAAGGTGACATTTACTCCAGGTCCATCTGAGCAGATATTTGATACCTCATGATGGACTCCTGCAGATGATCTCAGCAGGCTTCTGGATCATTGGTTTTGGCTGATCTGAGCAAGGAAGAGCCCCAAGGAAGAATTAGGAGGATATCCACAGGATATCAAGTAATACAGAGAAGACCTGAAGATGGACATCTCTGTTGCTACCACTTTGCTACTTCCATCTCCACAGAGGGAGCAAGGAAGAGTTCCCTTGATGCCACCAAGAAAGGTGCCAAAGTGCCAAGGTAACGCCTTGTTTTGGATCTACAAAAGGGTCCAGAGATCATTTGAAAACACAGTCCTGCAAGGTTTTCCATTGCTATAGATGTGCTGCCAAAAATATGTCAAATATAGACCCATCAATTAAATATTCCTTGGATTCTTGTTGGTCCACTTAACACATGTGCAATTCCTACTTTAACCACTAGGTCTTCTAGCGGTCCTTCCCACTACAAGGAACAATTGAGGAAGATGGCATAAAACCTCCCCATGAAGAAATTCAGAAGAAAATATATGTTTTTTTTTAAAATGCAAACAAGATCACTTCAACTTTTTCATCAAGTAATCAACATCCCTGTTAAAAGACTCTAGCTTACTGAATGATGATAGACTGGACCTTTCTGGCCATCTTGACAGGGCATGAAAGTTACAAGAGCAGTTCAGGAGAAATCATTTTCAACGTCCTCCTCAAATTTTACCTCCGCAGGTGGCAAAAACATCAATATCTAAATTCAGCCCAAGGTGGTTTTTCAGTAGAAGAGACAGGGTGTTTATTTAGCTTTGTATTCTTGTTGTTACTCTACCTTTGGTAGAGTGGGCGGCATATAAATTAAATAAATAAATAAATAAATTATGTAGTATCAAAAGCCAACTTATAGCAACCCTAATAGGGTCTTTGAGGTACGTGAGATATTTGAGTGGCTTTATCAGTTCAACAACCTGTGTGAATTTCCATGGGTGAGCAGGAATTTGAACCCAGACCTGCAAAATCTTAATCCACCACTCTATGTATCTCTGAGCTTTGTATAATGGTTCCTTTAAGCCAAGAAGAGCAACTGCGTCAACTCAACTGAGTTAACTGTATAACTTCTTGGCTAGGCTTTCCCAGATCTCTTTGTTGAGCCCAGATGTTTGGTAGAAAGTTAACTGTATAACTTCTTGGCTAGGCTTGGCTCAAAAGATCTCTTTGTTGAGCCCAGATGTTTGATAGAGTCTACAGGGTCAAAACACCAGGATAATTATGCAATCTCTCTCCCCGTTCCCTTTGAGTTTTCCTTCATCGCTTAGCACACCTGAATAGGAAATGAGTTCGGCTGTTTCCAAGGACGTTTCCAAGGTGTTCAATGAGCAACAAAGCTGTACTGTATCTTTTTCTCTCTCTTACCTTGAAGATGTGTGTTTTTTTATCTGCCCATGGAATTGCTCTACCATTTCAGATTGCAACTATGCTGTGATTACTTGGGTGTCAATCATCTGATGGCAAGACTGTTCAAAATCATATCTGGAAGGGCAATCATCCAGCAGTTTTTCCCCCTACTTCTATCAATCTGTTCTGTGCCTAGTTTCTCTTCCAGATGAGATTGTCCTATTAAATATTGTTGTTGTTGTTGTTGTTTTAAAGAATTGAATCTGATTTCTGCTTGGCATTGATATTCTCTGGGATCCAAAGTGCATGTTCCTGTCTCCATGGGATGCTGATGTTAATATTCCCATTCATCCAGCAAAGGATCACGCCAGCTGTGACAGAGAATGCTGATGGAGCCATCTTCCTGTACTACCAAGAGTTCTACATCACCTATTGTCTTTAATGAGGAGGCTTCAAGGTGATCATACCTGGCTCTGGATCAGGGCTTGGAAAAAACTGCTTTTCTTCTAGATCTGTGGTTCCCAACCTTAAGTCTCCATACATTATAGCAGTGGTTCTTAACCTTTGTTACTCGAATGTTTTTTAACTGCAACTTCCAGAAACCCCAGCTAGCACAGTTGGTGGTGAAGGCTTCTGGGAGTTGCAGTCCAAAACTCCTGAGCAACCCAAGGTTAAGAACCAGTGCGTTATAGGACTACAGCTCCCAGAAATCCTGGCCAGCTCAGCTAGTGGTGAAGGCTTCCAGGAGTTTAGACCAGAAACATATGAGGATGCAAGGTTGAGAACCACTGTTCAAGATTACAGTCTTTGAAACATGGATGTGTTCATGCTGGCTGATAGATTTTTTGTGCTATAGTGATGAAAACCCAACTTTGTTTTAGAAGATTCTTTTAAGGCAAAAGCAAACAGTATAGATCAACTCTGACCATGTTTGCTTTCTGCCCTATAGCCAGGATAAACAACTGATATTTAGGATGTGATTTTGGATGTCTTGGACTATACATTCCGTAATAGCCCATTTTGGGAGGTCGGCCTTATTCGCACGTACCTTACAGACAGTTAAGTGTGTCTCACCTGAGAGAAAAGGCATAGAAACCTAGCTAGGCCTAGCTTCCTGTTCAGATTGAAAGCTCCCAGCTATCACTCTGGCAGGAATTCTTTACAAACCCCACAGATGCAATTTACTCTGACACAGGTGGTCACACACATGCCAAAATGATTTTTAAAAATCATAATAAGAATCAATTCAAGACAAACAACCTCCTTATGGGTGTTTTAAAAACTTGCTACACTTTCCAACCAAAAAAACCCCATGCTTTCCGCCCCCCTCAAAAAATGGCTATAAAATTGGCTGTACATCATGTAGACTGATATTTGTAAATTGATTCCAAGCATGGTAATCGCAGTGCAAAAAGAAAAATATTGCAATGTGTAGCCGAGCCCTTACACATCATCTGAAAAAAAAAGGATCCCAATGAGGCAGATTAGGAAGAATATTGTATCTGTTAATTTTATGTACACATGTTGATGACGTTGATGACTAAATTTCTCTTCCATTTCCTACCACTAATGACATCTCAGTGGAGTTTTCAGCAAATGAAATATATACAATATTTCTTTAAACTCCACTGGGGAAAAAAATGAAATGCAAATATTACAATGCAAGCATTAAATAAGCGATTAAAACAATTGCCAGTTGAAATGTTTGCCATGAGCATCTTGGGACAGTGCACTCAAACCGAGCTACACAGTCAGACTGAGAAGGATGTCAACGAAGAGGCAGGTCTTAAAGCAGTGGTCCCCAACCTTGGGCCTCCAGATGTTCTTTGACTACAACTCCCAGAAGCCTTCACCACCACCTCTGCTGGCCAGGATTTCTGGGAGTTGAAGTCAAAGAACATCTGGAGGCCCAAGGTTGGGGACCACTGTCTTAAAGAAGAGCCTAAAGCATGCCCCAGTTGAAATGGAGAAGTGAAAGATGGTGGCATCACGGAGAAGACCTACTTCCAGGTTATGGTCAGATGACTATTTGCCAGTTGTGTGGCAACCAAGAAGGCAGCAAGGGAGATGAAAATGGAGAAATAATCACTACCATTTTAAGGGGATTTACAGTGTTGTAAGCAAAGATGGCCCACTTATTTCAAGAATCTGAAACTAAGATTGGATTCGGCCAAATTGTTTTGTTCATTTTTCATTAGCCATGGGTAATATCCATTCATTAGTAATGGATATTCCATGGCTAAAATCCTGTTGCTTAGCCCAGTGGTTCCCAACCTTCAGTAACCCAGGTGTTCTTGGACTGCAATTCCCATAAGCCTTCATCACCAGCTGCATTGGCTGGAGTTTCTGGGAATTGTAGTCCAAGAGGTCACCCAAGGTTGGGAACCACTGGCTCAGCATCTTAAGTTGCAACTGGAGGAGGCTCATGGAATCAGTGGAGATCTGGTGGGTCAACTCTTTCAAAAGTTTCCATTGATTTAATGAGCCTCCCCTCATCGTGATTTACTATCCTAAGCATGTGGCATTCAGCCATTGTCTTCTCTGCTTCCCTGCGACTGTAAGCCTGTCATATTTTCTTTGTGGAAGAGTTCCACTCCTTTCATACACAAAGTTTCAGGAAGAAGTGTAAAGATAAATAAATAAATTAGGCTTCCTCTCAACTGAAGATGCAGAGATAGAGGGAACAGCATCTGACAAAACTCCCTGCACCCTGCGTTGGTTGATGGAGCACATCTTCTAGAAGAGGAAATTCAGGCACACTTATCCTTGATGTAAGATAAACTTTCCTACTGCATCTTGTGCCTGTCTTCCTCTAACACCAAATATATCACTATAGAAACAAAAAGAACAGTGCAGGAGACTGGAAACAATTTCTGTAAAATGTGTCTGTGCATCAACGGTGTCCACTTAGATTTTGTAATGACTCAAGTTGCTGACATTAGTGTGGGGAGAGGGATGGCCTACCTTTGACCCGATATAATTACCCTTACATCTTACTTCTGCATCCAAGGATGTTGAAAAGACTGTGAGTGATTTCTTGCCTCACGTATCACAATAACTTGGGTAGCTTTGGATAATATGCAACGTGACATAGCGGCTGAAAAGTTGCCGTTTACTGCTCCGCTTCAGGCAGCAAAATCGCTGGGGCCGGCCCTAAAAGCGAGTATTCGAGGCACAATAAATGCCAGTGTCTGTATCAGCCAAGACGACAAACTGACATAAATTCTCAGGAAGGATATATTACCTCACCTTCCTCAAGGAAAAAAAAAAGCTTTCAGGAACTGAATTGAAGAAGCTAAAGCTTTCTTGATAAGCTGTTCTGAGAAGAAGGTCTCATACATTTCTCTCCACTAAATGCTCTGTGTTGCAGTATTTTTTGTGAACTGAATTGAAGAAGCTAAAGCTTTCTTAATAAACTGTTCTGAGAAGCAGATCTCATACATTTCTCTCCAATAAAATGCTCTGTGTTGCAGTATTTTTTTGGCCCTTGGAGCTTTACAAACTCCTGGGCCAGCTGCTACAAAGCAAGTGGATCAAAATCATCAAGTAAGGGTAGATGTATCCATCTATTGCAGACAAATAATGGACCAAAGAGTAAGGTGGAATGACCATTCTAGTTGTCTTCTCCTACGTAGAAGGTTTGGTCTTGACCTGGAGAAGATGGGAACTCCACACCACAGCCTGGAGATCATGTCAAGATGATGAGGGAGATGAACATGTGAGGAGGTGGAGAGAAGTGAAGATGAAGACTACAAAATATGGTGAATCGTAGATGTTACAATGATTTTGGGGAAGGAGTGGAGAAATACATGGAAGATGCAGCTCTTATTTAAGCTTGAAGAGTTGCCTTGAGTTCTGTCCTTTAGTAGAAAGTTGGGCTATGAAGTCTATGAAATGGGAAGGCTGGTGGTCACGTCTCCTTTTCATTTTTTGAGATGGGGAGACCTTATGTCCCTTGAACATGAACTGCTAATTCTGGAGGCCTTCAGCATCAGGGAAGACAAACAAATAAATATGGGGAAGACTCTGGGGTGGTCCAAAATGCATTTGAAGGCAGTACACATTCGGATTCAGTTTGTCCACTGCTTTGTAACAGTTTGACGTGTGTCTCTCCCCTAATGATTGTAACTGCACCACCCCCAAGTCCTAGGGACCTTGGGAAACTACATTGGACTTCCTTCTTTGATCCTCTCCCCCCAATTAGATTTCCAGAAAGAATTAAATGTACATTTTATTTTTAAAATTTACCGGCGCCAAGAATATGTCCTTCCTTTCGACAGTCATAAACTAAGCACAAAATTTTGCCATCCGTGGCTATTATAATTCCTATTTTTTCCCCTTTGTATGTCTGTCCAAAGACATCCGGAGGACTGATCTATATGGAGCAAACAAAAAGAGTGGGAAGAGTGTGATGTTGCCTTCACATGGGCACACACATATATATTTACACCAACACACATTTACATAGACACAGGATAGAAGATTGTTGAGTTTTTCCTCCACAGTAGGAAAACTGTTACACAGAGTAGTAATTCTAATTAGAGATGGGCTTGAACTAGAGATAGGTTTGGCACTTTGTACTGGTTCCTTTAGTGGCTGAACAGGTGTTCAGCACTTCCCATCTCTGCCTCCTCTGGCAGGCACCCCCACTTAGAGGCAGCAAACAGAGGAGGCAGGGCAGGGAAGCCAAGGGGCACCTGCCAGAGGAGACGGGGATGGAAAGCGCCGAACACCTGTCTAGTGCTAAAAAAAAATAAATCCTGCCAGATCTGTGGTTCAAGCCCATCTCTAATTCTAATCCATAATTGTGATTCATGACTCACAATAAACTCAACAATAGTTTTGTCTGTTACTGATGCCCTGCTTTTCTATTAAAATCATAGTCAGAGCTATTTGCAAAAGAATTAAAAGATGCTCAAAGTCCAATAATAAGATTTGAGCACCTTTTACAGAGGCAAGAATCCTGTTGTCAATTTATGTTGGCATAAGTGTAGTAAACTGCAGCAACAATTTTTAGCTAACAAGCTGTTGCAGTTTACTCTATTACACTTATGCCAATGCAACTTGCATTTGCAATTACGTGCCAGGTTGCATGATTTAGACATGATGAGGAACATGCACCACAACTTAGTAATTTGCAGCAATTTGCCACCCTAATTTAAACCATTCCAATGATGGTTGCTGTGGGTTTTTTGGGCTCTTTGACCATGTTCTGAAGGTTGTTCTTCCTAACGTTTCACCAGTCTCTGTGGCCGGCATCTTCAGAGGACAGGAGTCAGAACGCTGTCTGTGCTCTGTTGAAGAGCAACCTTCAGAACACAGCCAAAGAGCCCAAAAAATTCACAGCAACCATCAGATTCCAGCTGTGAAAGTCTTCGAGAATGGTGCAAATCCACAACAGTGTTTTGGCCAGTAGAAGTCAGATTATCAACATGGGAGCAAAATCAATTCATATATTTGAAATGGTAAAATAGCAGAACAATGCTGAGCTAGAGTAAAAATATATTTACCTACGATAAAAACGCATTAGGAGAGACGGTGTGTGAGGACTGTCTTTTGGAAGGTAGCCTGACAAGCATCATGGCAACACTAGGAGGAACAGGACTATGACTCAGCTGCCAGCATGCCCATTTATTTTCCTGCAACTGATGTCCTTAAGCTTTCAAGTGATGCCCGTCCACCCTACTCTCCCATCCTGGCTCCTTCTGACAATCCTATCTGTATCCCAAACTCAAAACCGCCTAAAGGGACGATTTGGGAGTGTTCTGGAGGCAACTAATGCTGCAAATGAGTGGTTACACCAGCTGTTGGAAAAATTTTATTTGTAGGGACTTAAGAAGCTGCAGGACAGATTTCGCAAATGTGTCTAGCTATGCATCTGAGTGTTAGTTCTAGAAATACTCTACTGACCAATCTAGAAGATAAAGCTTGTATTAGACATCCTAATACACAATAACTTGGATGCAGGTTTGTATTTACATAAACACCATGGCAGGCAGAATGTAGACCTCAGAGTGATTTGCAGTATATTAATGAAGGATTTTTTTTACTCCCAGTGGATTTGAAATAGGCAGCAATGAAAGTATCTTTCATTTCTGCTAAATTAGCCAACAGAAATCAAGAAAGTTTCAAGAGGGGGCCCAGAAATAGCTTTGCGCGTAAAAAGATGTCCATGCAAACTCTATTTCTGATACTAAAAATAAAATCCTCGAGTTGTGTGTTGGATGAGAAGCATTTCCTTGTCCAAAAACCATGTCCATTTTCCTGAAGTGGTATTGCATAACTGTCTTTGGTTGTTGGATCTAGAGGTAAAGGGTAAAGTTGATCATGCAAGACTAAAAGTTGCAAATGTCTGCTGTAGAGTTTTCACAGGGTTTGATGGACCTTTCTGCCCTGGGCCTGTTGAAATCCAGGAGTGGCCATCTGTTTCTATCTGTATCTGAGGCCTGGGCAAAAGAGATGCAGGAGATCCAGCTGCCGACCCTTTGCAATTCTTTTGTGGAGCAGTGCGGTCCTCCCATTGAAATGCCAAAAGGTCAAAAAGAAGAACAAGAAGCAAAACAAGACTCTGGAAGCAAATGTTGATGGAAGAGAACCATTAGCCTTTCAAGTGGTAAAACAGCACCAAAGAGCGGAAAGGCATGTCTGAATTTAGACACAAGAAGCACTAATGGATATCAGAGCAAAGGTTCCCTTTTGACTGAAAAAGTTTATTTTTGGACTATAGCTCCCAGAATCTCCCAATGATAAGGTTCTCAGATGATGGCCTCTGGGTCTCACATCTGCTAATTCATATTGTGAACTCCATTTTCTAGACTTTAGGCTTTGAAATCTCAGGAAATGCAATGCTGCCCAGCCTGGAAAGTCAGATCTTGGATTTAATTCTCCTGGTTTCCGGCCATGCCATTTAAATATGCTCAGAAGCACTTTTATCATCTTCAAACTCTCACATGATCTAGAAAAGCAGCTGCTGGAATTCACACATAAGTCTTTAAACTCATTATAGAGTTTGCAGCACATTGTCTGTATGTAATTTCCTTACAAGTATGAAATGGCTGCTGAAAGGCCAGCCACTGATGCCTCACAAAGTTACACCTCTTTTTACATCATAAGGTCCCACCCCCAAATCTCAAGCGTTGGCCCTAAAATTTCAGAGAATAAGATGCTGCTGAGCAGGCAGTCTGATCAGTAGCCTTGCTGGCTATGAGGTTCTGAGAGTTACAGTCCAAAAAAGTAACTTCTATTAGAACTACTTGTCCTCCAATGTACTTCTCATGATGGCTTATAGAAAGTAGCAGCCATTTTGGGAATATGCCTTTGTTTGCCAAAAGGATCTTCAAAAGCAAAACAATCCAAAGAAAGGAGGAAATTAATTCAAAAAACCCGAATAATGGCTCAGCTTGTTTAGTGTTACACACTCCAGGGTTGGGAAGGGGAACGAGAACGGGAGGTAGTAGAGATCCAGGCAGGAACCCAGCCAGCATTTCCCTGCCTCCCCAGGCAGCCATCCACTCATTGGCTATGCAGGGAGACTACCCATCCCGCCTTCTCACCAGAGTGGTTGGCTGCCTGCAGAGTCAGGGAAAGATTGGCTGGGCTCCTGCCTGGATTGGAGTGGTGCTGCCAAAAAAGGACCCCAGCAGCATGCAGAGTCTGGTAAGTGGACCAGCTGGCCCGAGGGGAGAAAGATGGAACTCAGCACCACCTGTGGTCCTGTGCTTCGTACAAAGATGTACGAAGCACCCATTTCGAGAAAGTAAACATGGAATGAAAAGTGAGGTTCAAATAACTAATTCAATCACCTTGATTCAGTTGACTTGTCTGAAAAATAGCCAGATCCAGTTCTGGATTGAATTTACAATTTTTTTAAATGGATCAAAAGCAAAATAGGAAGTCCCCTTTTGGTTTTCCAAGGGAGGACAATATAAATGTATGAATTTATTTGGATCTAGGGCAGAAACTGAATGGGGCAGGATATAAATACCTCCAGGCTCAATCAGGATACATCTGGCAGTCCCAAATTGGCCTGCCGATTAGATCTGGAGATTTATGCAGAACCTTAAAATGGAATGTCTTAGAATCTTATCTTAGAACTGCAGAGCTCGAAGGGACCCTCTGGATCATCAAATCCAGCCCCTGTCAAGGAGGCACAGCGGGGAATCGAACTCCCAAACTCTGACTCCACAGTCAGAGACCTAAGCCATTGAGCTATCTGAAAAGAGGACATGACACATCACCAGATTTTGCTGGAAGTCCCACTGAGTTGCTACTTTCCCTTCTTTTTTATTTTGCTTTCCAGCCAAATGGGCCCTTAGGATCAATACTGACAAAGCCAGAACAAGAACCACTTACTTGATCAAGAGGAGGCTCAAAAAGAGAGGAATGGCAGTGCTTGGACACAGAGACAGCACTGCGTGTTTCTCTTGGTCGACTGCTTCTGTAAGGGTGGCAGAGGAGTAAGAAAATAGAATCAGCATTAACAGCAAAGACGACCCAATGCCTGCTTTCTTAACATCCCCTTTAAGTGTACCCTGCCAAAGAACGAAGCTGACATTAAAGCTTGACTAGAGGGCAGGGTACCAGGATTTGGGCTATTCTATCACATTTCCTATACTTCCCCCAATTCATTTAGGTAAAGATAAAGGTTCCCCTTGACATTTAGTCCGGTCGTGTCCGACTTTAGGGTGCTGTGCTCATCCCCATCTCCAAGCCATAGAGCCAGCGTTTGTCCATAGACAGTTTCCGTGGTCACGTGGCCAGCACGACTAGACACGGAATGCCGTGACCTTCCCACCGTGGTCATGGGCCAGCATGACTAGACACGGAATGCTGTGACCTTCCCAATGTGGTCATACCTATTTATCTACAGTGGTGCCTCGCTTAACGAGCGCCTCGCTGAGCGATGAAATCGCTTAACGAGGCGCTCTGGGCCATCGCTGGAGCATTCGCTCAGCGATGGCCCCTATGGAGGTTTTTCGCTGTGCGATATTCGCTAAGCGTTTCGCTTAGCGAATATCGCATAACGAAGCCGGGAGAAGAGCTGAGCGGCGGTTCCAAAATGGCCGCCGGAAGGTCCGCGCTGCATTTTTGCGCCCTGCCCTCGCTTACCGAGGGCGCGAAAATGGCGGCGCTATGGGACAACATCGCTTAACGGTGAGTTTTCAAGCCATAGGAATGCATTGAACGAAGTTCAATGCGTTTCTATGGCTTTTTTATTACCCTTTAGCGATGTTTTCGCATAGCGAAGGTTAATCCGGAACGGATTAACCTCGCTATGCGAGGCACCACTGTACGTGCATTTATATGCTTTAGAACTGCTAGGTTGGCAGGAGCTGGGACAAGTGACGGGCGCTCACTCCGTCGCGTGGATTCGATCTTACGACAGCTGGTCTTCTGACCTTGCAGCATAGAGGCTTCCACGGTTTAACCCACAGCGCCACCACATTTCCTATACTTCCCCCAATTAATTTACTACTCATATAAAGAGATGTAAATCTGCACTTGTTTCGTTCATGTACATGAGAACAAAACGTTTCGGAATATGCGTCTCCACTGGATGAAATGAGGAGAATCATTTCTAGTTTTTTTTTTTTGTATTGCATGTTGTGTATGTGTGTAAAAATATTTCTTGGTGGGTGTTGTACGAAAACCTTTTGTGTTGTGCTGAAAACATCATATGTTGTGTGAAATACATAGTTTTCTGTGCAGAATATATCCCCCCCCCCCGATGTTGCCAACTTTATTTTTAAAGAACTGGCTTTTTTAGCTCCCAGGTTGGAACTTTAAAAATGTACAAAGGCAGGCAGTTTTTAAATGGGGTGTCTGAACCCATCAAGATAACTTTCTCACTGGAATGAGAAAATTGCAGATATTCATTAATTATTGCCAGTACTTTAGAAATTGTGATCGTTGCCTGTGGGGAGCAACTGATTCCTAGGAAATAAAAAAGAACTTTTCATTAGCTAAGCTTTCAAATGAATTAAGCCAATTATGCTGTGCTTGTACAAGATATGTGGGGATTGAATCTGTATTAACTTTTCTATAACTGTATGTCCCAGTTCTTCTGAATAAGTGTGATTGCTTGTATTTGATTTTAATCAGTCAGTTGAATAAAACAACTAACTTCTTAGCATGTGGAGCTATCACTAAAGAGTGTGTGTTTATCCATCTGTCCATTTCCTACCAATGGGTGGACACAGCAAGTTTGCCAAGCTGAGAAATGTATACAAACCACAGAGTAATCAATGGAGAAATGTGTAATATATTTACATCAAAAATAAATAAATAAATAAATACATCACCATCATCATCATCATCATCATCATCATCATCATCATGTGCTGTCAACTCAGTTATGACTTATGGCAACCTATTTTGCAATATTGGCCAGGTAGAGACGATTCAGAACTGGTCTGACATTCCCTTCTTCCGGGGTGCCCTGGGACTGTACCACTTGCCCAAGGCCACCTAGGCTGGCGGTTTGATTCAAGAGGCACAGGAAGGAATTGAACCCGAAATCTCTGGCCCTGCAGCCCGATGCCTAACCCCCTAAGTTATGCAGCTTTTTTTTAAGTCTATGAAATACTATATTAATACTTATCAACCTTTAACTTGCTGTTTCAAGGGATTGTGAAATTATTTAAATGAGGCTTTGGTTTTAAGATGTAAACCACCCTGGAAAAAGCTTTTCTGTGGAAGGGTAATCTAGAAATTGATTGACTCAACAAATAGATTAGAACCAGGCAGTTAAAAGAGAAAATGAAAGTGGTGCCATTGTACTTTCATCAGCTGTTGGTTCCATTCAGCTGTAACAGGGCTGGTTTGACACTGGGCATTCGTAGCATTCGTGGGTATGAATTAACTAAGAATGCAACCCACACACATGCAAAAAAACAAAACAAAACCAGGCTATTAAAAAAATTAGCAGTAGCAAATAAGTAAGTAAGTAAGTAAGTAAGTAAGTAAGTAAGTAAGTAAGTAAGTAAGTAAGTAAGTAA